AGATGAAAAAAAAATGACCAAAAAAAAAAATCCAGATCCCCCAATAACTCCTCCTACTTTCTATTTCAGGCATAAAATTGGCCGCTGAAAGACAGCCTTTTGTTCCACAATTAAGGATGCAATTAAAAATGTAAATGGCTGAAAGACTGAACATAATACTAATAAGAGTCTCAAAGTCTGAATGAAGAATCAACATCTAGTCTCCTTTAAGGGACGCAACCTCCACATTCACACAGAAACAAGGGAGCCTTCTCCTTACTTAACAAGTCCCATGGGGATCCTGCCAAGACCTGCTTCAAACTAACCCTATGGGGCCTGTGAAACAGTAGGTGCCTACCACAACTGAGACAATCAGGATTGCACCTGAGGGCTATGGTTGTAGCTCAGTGTGGAGACCCGTCTAACATACACAAGATGTCAGGTTTGATTCTTAGACCCACAGAAACTGGGCATGATGGTAGACTCCTAAAATCCAGCTCTTGAGAAGTTGAAGGTGGCTCTCAGCTATATTCGGAGCTCAAGGCCACCCTGGGCTATGAGTTTACAAAAAGGGGGGGGGCAGGTTTGCAATTGGTAACTGTTTTCAATTAGGGTTAATAGCGCTGTGATGAAACATATGACCAAAAGCAAGTGGGGGTTGGTGTATATATACTGGATCACAGGACAATGAAGGAAATCAAAGCAGGACTTGAAACTGAGCAGGAACCTGCAGGCAGGAACTGATGCAGAGCCTGGAAGTTTCACTTACTGGTTGTTTTACTGGTTGTTCAGTCTGCTTTCTTACAGAACCCAGGAACAGCAGCTCAGGGATGTCCTCATCCACGATGGACTGGGCCCTCCCTCATCAATCACTAATGAAGAAAATGCCATAGAAGTTTTCCTGCCTATAACTCGGTCTTATGAACACATTTTCTCAACTCAGGTCCCTCCTCTCAGATAACTCTAGCCTGTGTCACGGTGACATAAAGCTAGCCAGCACAATAAGCTACAAATTTTACCCTAGAATGCCTTTTTTGGAAAAGTCGATATAAAACATAAAGGAAACAGACATTTTGTTACTGTGAATGTTAACAGTGCTCCATCAGGGCGGACTTCAACATCACTGCCTGAACAACGGGGGGGTCTTTGATCAACGCTCTTATGGGGGTAAAAGCAATGACTTGTGTAGGTCATTTGTAAACCTCTCTGGCCTTCATGTTGCCTTGAAAGATTCATCACTCAGCACAGAGAGAATCACACAGAATGGAAAAAAATGAAGTATACTACACATAAACAAGAGTACTATTTAATGACAAAGTTCTTTCATCTTCATGCATGCTTCTATTTACAGGGCCATAAGAAAGAATGAATGCCCTTCATTCTGTGGGTCATAATACTTAAAAGTTTCTGAAATAGCAACAAAACATTGTACATTAGGAAGCAGTCAACATTCCAGAGGTTCCTGTGGCTACCCAGTCTTTAGATATCACAAGACATTTAACTGTCTTTCCCTGGTTGCCACTAGATGATGAGTTTTCTATTGGCAGGAAACATGGTTCCAGTTTCTCTGCTCTTTTTTCCAGGTGGTCAAGTGCTTGACCGAGTTGACCCTCTCTTCAAGTTTGTGAACTGACCACCAACACATGGCCATTTCTAATGTGTGCCTGTGTTTTGCATGAAGTAAGAGTGTGTGTGTGTGTATGTGTGTGGAGAGAGAGAGAGGGAGGGTGGGAGGGAGGGAGGGAGGGAGGAAGGGAGAGAGAGAGAGAGAGAGAGAGAGAGAGAGAGAGAGAGAGAGAGAGAGAGAGAGAGAGAGAGACAGTCTAAGGTAGAGTAGACATTCCTAAATCAAAATTTTGTGAACTGTCTGATTTAGGTCTTTCACTTCATGCAAATATATGGACCATATCAGTGAACACAGCACTGACAGGAACAGACTGGTTACAGCTCAAACACTCCCAACAGCTGGAACCTCTGAGCGACCACTGAGGGAGGCGGAATAAAGTGGGGGAGAGATAGGGCGAGTGGAAAGTTGACTGTCATAGCAGCTGGAGACCCCAGGCCAATGTATTTTCTTTTAGGTCCTCACAGCAGATCTGGTGAGGGCTGTTTCCTTCTAGCCTTCAGAGTACACAGGGGTAAGCAAGATGAGAAAAAGAATATAGCTCAAGATGTTATTTCCGGCTTAGAGAGACAGGCTCATCACCTTATACTCATATAGTCGAGAAACCCTGCTACTCATTTATTTTGAGAGAGTGAGTAGTTGTCGTTCTAAAATAATCACAGACAAATTTGGTACAGTTCCCGTTTGCATGCTCCAGATACAGCAAGCGTCTCTAGGGACCGTTCTTTGGAAAGGACTCCGTTTGGGCTTTGCTGGTCCATTTCGCATCCGCACTTCCTTTGCTGGTCTATTTTACCACACTGTACAAGAACAAGGCCAGGGGCTCTGATAAGGCTTGGTTCTAGGCTCTTCCTCTGTGTGTGGCCTCTATTTCTTCACCTCTCTGTCTCAGTATCATGTAGATGCTGAGGTCAGTTCTGGAGGTACTACATGACGGGATTTGGGGAACCAAATACCACATTTGTATATTAGAGAGATTTCCTCTAGGGAATTTCATATGGGAAGTCAAATGTTCTTGGGTCAAATTTTAAAATGTCCCCCCTTTGGAAACTTCCTGTCCGCTTATGTTTCCATTTTTTCCTGCATGTTATACTTTGTTTACCATTTCTCAGCATGGAGATTTGATTCTAACCAATAATACCTTCAAGTATGTCTTTTGATTTTGTATTATAACCTTTTGTTTAATTTCCACAACTTAAAAACTTTTAGCTTATATGTTTTCATCCAATTTTCTTACTGTGTTAATGATATTGTCATGAAACCTGTTTTTTAGCGACAACAACATGGATGATTTTTCCTTGCGGTTTGAGTCAATAAAGCCATTGACTGATCTGTCTGGGTATTGTTATTCCAACTATTTTCCCCCCAAAGTAAGACATTTCAAGGTTTTTCAAAATAATTTTGATCATGAAAACTATTAGGAATATTTTCTAACAGAGCCTCTCCGCCGGCGCAAAGAATTCCAGTCAGACCAGATTAAACCAAATTAAATGCCTGTGTTTAATAGACAGTGGTCCTGGGTGGCTGGGAGCATGCTAGGGGGAAATACAGGGGGAGTGCTCATGCAAAACCAAAACCTTCTCCCTGCAGCCTCCTAAAAACCCTGTGGGAGGGATCAGCGCTTGGCAGGCTGGGGAGTTGGGAGTCCGGACCAACAAAAACGAGTAATACAAGTATGGAGAAGAGAAACAGATACAAATTGGCTTAATTTATATCACATTTGCAATGTCACTCTAAGATATTTTCTAAGGTAGTTCTCCACATTTCCTTCCATGGACAACAAAGTACTTCAAAACAATCTAGAATACAGTTGGCGAATTATAGAAGATTAATAGTCTACTAGATATCTATCTATCTATCTATCTATCTATCTATCTATCTATCTATCTATCTATCTATCTATCTATCATCTACCTACCTACCTACCTACCTACCTACCTACCTACCTACCTACCTACCTAATCTATCATCTATCATGTGTTTTTAAGTCTCAAAAGGCCCGAGGCATGGAAACTCCTCTAAACAAGCTAGAATTCTATTATGGCCGAGTATCTTGCAAATTAGGGCCCCTGAGAAGCTGCCTCCTTCTGAAACTGGTCTTCTGTTTTCTCCCTGCATGTCTAGCACACAGAAAGGAGAGCTGTACAGCCATGGAATTCAAGACAAACCAGCTCAAATGCATCATTTAGTAGATGTATCATGGGATTCTTGCTGGAAAAGAAAGTGAAATTTTGATGAGGAGGATGTGGCCTTAGTTGCCAGTCAGCTCTGGCGTCAGAGCTCACAGTGGCCATCCAAAGACTGATGGCCCGATTCCTCTACATAGGCTTCCATTCATTCTGAAGTTAGGGGATACTTTCCCTCTCAGCTGTCAGTATCTGTATTATTTGTTACATAATACAAAATGGCTCAGTGGATAAATGAGCTTACGGTCTCACCTAAAGGCCATAGTTAAGTTCCCAGAAGCCATGCTAGAAGGGCACGTACATACATACACCCACGTGTGTATACACACACAAATAGATGATATTGAGATGCAATCCAGGAGCAGGAACTAGTAAGTGGATCGTGTTACACTTGAGTGTCTATATATCACACTAGAGAAGTTTCCACTGGGATAAAATACTGACAGGTATTTTGAATTCACTCATTCTGTAGTCAAGACTGGACTGAACTTACTATATATCTCCAGGCTGGTCTTGAGCTTGTGGTGGTCTCCTGGCCCCCATCTAAGTACTGAGATTACAGGTGTAAGTCACACCTGGCTAATTAATGGGTTTCAGGCAAGGAACTATGAATTTGTGTAGTCTGAGAATCAACTGATAGACATTCTACTGAAGAAAGTATTTCTGCCAAAACTTTCAGAAAAACAACCAATGCACATTACTGTTTGACAGAACAGCCAATTTCCAGTAAATGAACAAAAACTAGCACACTCAACATCTGGAGGTCAGGAAGTCATAGGGAACATTCTCTCCCAAGACTGACCGCAAGTCAATGTCCAGAGCTTCAGTCTACACAGCCAAGCTTTGCCATAAGTGAAACCAATGGTATACTTTAATAGTTTGTAATATTATAAAGGAATAATTTGTTAGCTGGGTATGATGATGTGTACCTGTGTGTCCAGCATGAATAACTAGCATTTGTCAACTTGAGCTACACAGACAGACCACCTTTTCTTTTTTTAACAAGAGAAAAAAATTAAAAGCTAAAACTCGGAAAACATTTTAGCCTAATAACATTTCAAAAATTACTTCAAAATGGTTAAATTCAAGACATTATAAGCAGAAGTACACTGACAAGCCCAGGCTAGCTGGAACACAGGCGTGGCCCTTTTGTCCCTATGCCAGTCGCTCCGGGGCGAGTACATCCGAGTCAGGAGTGCTCCGATGCCTACCTGACATACAGGGAGCGTTTCTGATTGGTGCGAAGGGACCCGGACCCGGAGCTCATGCTGTGGTTCATCATCTGCTCGCGTAGGTCATGGATTTTGGCCTCAAATCGGGCGTAATCTGGAAAAGGAGGAAGCAAATGGTTAAGTTTGGTTCTGCACCTTCTGGAAATTGAACACGCTCTGTAGACGGGGCTACTGGTCCCCGCTGTTGTTCCTCTTCCAGGCACCAGGTAGGAACTCAACTTCAGAAGAGCGTGTCTGTTTACCAGAGCTCTGTACTCCCAAATTCCCAGGAAGAAAGGGAGAGAGATCACAATTACTTTCTAAAGATTACCCAGGAAGCACAGAACCATGGCATTCCCAACTTGTTTGAGAGAAGTTTTGATACAACCTTTAAATCAGTTTCCCGCGTTTCTCACAACTGTCACACACCATCCTAACTAGTATAAAATGGATACAGTCTATGTTAATCTTACTCAGATTCTCTCAGGCTCCTTTCTATGTGTCTATGTGCGTGCAGAAGGTGCGGGCACTGATTGACCTTACATGTAGCCCTGACTGTCCTAAAACTTGCTATGTAAAGCCGACTGGCCTCTGCCTCCTGAGTGCTGGCATTAAAGGTGTGTGCCACCATTCCAGGCTTTCACTACCACATTTAAAAAATAATTTGATTTTTTTCATTCTTTTCTTTTTCCCTTCCCCGAGACAGGGTTTCTCTGTGTATCTCCAACTGTCCTGGAACTCACTCTGTAGACCAGATTGGCCTTGAAATCGCAGAGATCTGTTTGCCCCTGCCTCCCTGAGTGCTGGGATTTAATAAGTGTGTCACCACACTCATGGATTTTAAAAAGCTCCATGAAGCTGACTTTAATTTCAGATCATGTAACATGTACTGATAATTGCAAGATGGCCTTCCCTAAAAGATTTGGCAACAGCTAACAGAATACTTACACAGTTCAGAATGTGAAATACAAAAGTTTATACTCTTAAGACTAAAAAAGCCCATAATAGTAGGTTAGTAATTTCCGACGCTGAAATATAACCTGGAATTATCAAGATTTGGCAGACTTCCTGTTAATAATTCAGCCCTAAATGGTTAAATAAGTCAAATATAGACTTAATCACACAGTTCATCTAAAATCCACTGACTTTACTCTAAAACACTGCATTTCATTCCAAGGGAAAACACTTCTGAGTGTTGGTGTGATATTGTCTGCAGATTAAAGGCACCTTGAGCAGGCTGGATTTCCTTGCTACGAGATCAGCTAACATCTATAATGGACCATATGGCACCCGGAACATGTGGGGCTCTGGGGGCATCTCTTTCCTAGGTCATAAGATGAAGCCTACAGATGTCATACAAACTGATCTCAACCATATGAACATAGAAGGGAGATAGAAAGGCCCCTGCCTTCTATCATATAGATGTGCTTCCCCAAAGCTCATCAGGGGAGGGAGCTGTGTGCTGGGAATGTTAGTGGGGATGTCTGTGAGTACATGATCACAAACACACATTGAAAATTGTGTGGAAATAGATTTTTTCTCTTTTTGAATAGCATGACATGGATGGCTAGTTACTTTCTACCAAATCTATAAATATGCATTTCCTTAATACATTCTATAGTTATACATGTTTATTTAACAAACCCCATGTATTTTGGTGTTAGGCCTCTGAAGGTCTCCATGATACAAATAATTGTGTTACTGCGTGTGTGTACATTATGGGATAAGTTAGTACTAGCCAATACTGTGCACAACAACCATATAGTCTCCACTAGCACTTTGTTTTTTGTGTTTCAAAAATATGTTGTGATTCAGGCTGCTGTGTATGTGCGGCACAATCTGCCTTGATCTTGTGTTCCTTCTGCCTCAGTCTTCTGAGCACTAGGGTTATAGGCTCATCACTGCTCTCTGTGGGGATATAGAGTAGGAACTTGGAGCTTTCTCAGATCCATGTCCTGTGACCACTCTCTGAAGAGGAAGTATGCCTGGTCTCATCTCAGTCTCATGCAGACATAGGACTCTCTGCTTCATAACCATGGGGACTGGAAGGTGAAAGAGCAAAACTCTACCAATGTACTCTCCCAACATCCGACCGGCGAGACCTCATGCTGTCTGTGAGCAAGCCATAGTGTTGCCTCTATTACACCATCTTGTAATTATTTGTGTAGTTTCCCATTGTCATTAGGCTGAGCCCCTTAGGGGAGAACCCACGTCTCACTATAGGGATTCCCTAATTCATGATGCGGTGTCTGATGGTCCAGAGGGAATTAACAAGCGGCACACACACCTTTTCTGAGTGACTGATCGGTGAATGAAGAACGAGCTGAATCATTAGATAAATTTGGTTATCAAATAATGTCAATTTCTAACATTATTTCACAAGAGAAGGAAAGCAGTGCACATCTATCTCCTTTTCCAAAAGCAAACGCTCAAGTTTCAGACATTTTTTGTCAAATTACAGCCAATTCCAGACCCTTTTGCTGTCTCTATTATTCTCTAGGCAATGTCTGTTCTCTTCAGCTGAGTCATGGCGGGCGGTGGAAACAGTTCTGACACGTAACCTACACACAATTAAGAATGACGATAGACTCTCATAAGGATCATGCTACTCCAGCGTGTATTATGACAGAAGGCTTGCCTTATTAATAAAGTTCATTTGCATTGTTATATGGCTCATTAGATACCCCATTACCTTCTGCTGTCTTCTTACATTGTTTATCATGTAGTATCGTACGGTGTTTAAGTGCACCATAGCTGTAGCTGATGCTGCCTCTGCCTCATCTAGCCTCCACATTATTCTTGACTTAGCATTTTGAGACTCATCTCTGTCACAAATCTTCTATTCAAAGGTACTTGTCTTTTACATTTTGAAAGTGAGAACAGAGGTTCACATAATTTAGCCAGTTTGTAAACAATAGGTTTGTAGATGCAATGTGGTAGGGGTGGGGGAAGTTGCACACTCACAACTGCATAGTGATACACCAAGCCTGTGGTTAGAAATGCTTTGGAAATAAAACCATCTATGTAGACTGTAAGATGCCAGTCTTTACGTCTTATCAAAGTATTGAAAATCCATTCTGCTAGCTAAAACACGAACAACTAATAGACCTCCTCTTTATTAATCCCGTTTCTTTACGGGCGTCCTTCCTGCCCATGCTCTCCTGCTTTGGGGCATTTTTCAGTCACATTGCTAACATTCTTGCTTGATTCCAAACTTCATGAGACCATCCAACTGAGATTTCTAAAACACGCTAATCTTTACACCCTCTGGCTTGGAGCAAGACAGAACCTGAATGGACTTGCTTCTAGAATGTGACGTTACAAGGATCTTAAGCCTGACGGTGCTAAGGTGGGCACCACAATAGAAAGCAATCTGCCTGGCCATGCTTGCAAAAGGCAGCTGGTAAATGCTGAAATTAAAAATTATTTCCTATTTCTTGGGCCTTCTATAACTACCAATAGCGCACTGAAAACTAACTTCTAAGTGGAGAGTTTGTCGGGGTGTAAAGAAACTCTTTTTCCTCTCTGCATGAGAAGCCCAGATACCTTTGTGGGTGTCCCCTCTATATTGAAAGATATCTAAGCTGAACTGCACATGGAAGCAGAGGGACCGTACAGAGGGAGGAAGGGGATCCCGTGGAGGGGAGGCGCAAGAAACCATAAACAGAACAAAGATAACCGTATACGGAAGTGCCGTAATGAAACTCGTTATTTTCTAGCCCAACTTAAAAAAATGAAATGAACAAACCTATGAAGTTCAAAATGAAGTGTATAAAGCCATTAGCAGAGGGAGCAGCAATCAATGGTGCTCACTGGGACAGAAGGACATCTGTACCTTGAGCCTGGACAGGGGCTGTGAGGGTTTCAGGTTCAAATCGAGCCTTTCCCGGCATACTGCTACACCCAAATGAATCAGTATTGATGAAATGGAAGTCATGCATGGCAGCTCAGCAAACTCAGATTTTACAGAAAAATGTATTCTATAGAAAATGTCCCTAGTGTAGATGACATATATTAAAAATCACTATGCATTTGAGAAAGTAATAAATCTGATTGTTTCTAACTGTAATCACTCATTTGGGGGTTTTATTTATTTTCAATTTTGACGAGATGGTTGATAATATCAGAAAACTTAAGATTTGGAATATGTAGATGATATCAACACATTAGCTACACAACATTAGAAAAGTTATTAACCTTTCTTGGCTCGATTTTCTTACAAGAGAAATGGTAATAATAATGGTGCCTTCCTCAAGAGATGTTGGGAAGAGCCGCAGAGCTCGCGGATCAGATGATTGGCTCTTGCTAATCACTGGCACTCTTTGTTTTTATGTGTAATTTATAACCTATTCTTGCTCATTATTTGCAAACATCGTAATCTCTTTGAGGATCAAGAGTGGAAATTTGTGTCTACTTCTAAGACCCAGTGATTCAGCACCTCTCTCTCTAACATGAAGTTTGTCTATTAGGCCAAAGAGGAACAAGTTAAAAGTGGCCTCAGTTTGGGATGCTTGGTCCCTTCTTGATGAACATTAAATGACCCCCATGATCCTCCTCCAAATCTGTGGTTATTTGGAGCTCGGAATGACGATGCCCAATTCCATGTGGCTCCTGGTTTCTGTGGTATTAATGGCCACGTAGCGGTCTCACAACTATCAGTTACTTTAGTTACTAAAGGAAGCAGCGAGCAGACGAGAGGAGAACTAAGAGAGGAGGCCTTCGGGATTAATCACACCTTTTACTAATAATAACAAGGCCTGGGGAAATGACTCAGCTTATTCACCTGTACAGTTTGCGAGTTACTTTTCAAATGGGTTTAGAGAATCAAATTGCTGTGAAAGAGCTTAAAATGGTTTTCCCGTGGTGGTCCCGTCAGGACAAATGCATGTGAAGTCCTTGGTGGCACTGAGGTTGATGGTAGCATCCTTTTCCCATTTCTTATTTATGAGTATGGACACCGCTCAGAGAGCCACTGAGCTGAATTCTGGGTTCTGCACATCCAAGCAACAGAGACTGCTTTCCTGCTGAGCTACCCATCCCAGCACCACCAGAAGCCACTTTGAAGAGCACTCTACGCCCCCCCCCCCCCATGATGGGCCTAAGGGGTTTTCCACA